CGAGAAATCACCCCCCAGGGGGGATGGTCACGCCGCAATCCCTTCTCCTCCATTCTCCTCTCGGGATCTTGGGCACGCACGCACACGCGCCCGGCGTGAGTTTTAAGCCACTGGGTCCGGGACACGAACCACGGTCGACTACGTGGGAGTCCAGCGACATAGCCATTACGCTAACTGCTGGTTCCCAAGAATTATTTCATTTTTTAACATTTATTTTAATTTGACCAGAGAGGGACAGAGAGAGAGAAGTGAGAAAAAAAGCTGCCAGATCTGGGACTCGAACCATGGTCAGCTATGTGGGAGTCTAGCACCCTTAACCACCATGCCACCTGCCAGCTCCAATATATTCATGTTATTAAACAAGATTGATTATGGTTATTCTTGTTCTAGATTTATTTAATTTTGTTATTATTATTTAATTTGATGAAAGAGGGGGAGAGAGAGAAAAATGAGAGAGCAAGCTGCTAGGTCCAAGACTTGAACTGTGGTCCACCATGTGGGAGTCCAGTACCTTAACCACCATGCCACCTGCCGGCCCCTATTATGATTATTATAAATATTCACATCTTGAAATGATTTTTTAAATAATTATTTTATTTACATTTATTTACTTATTTGCTTATTTTAATTTGACCAGAAAGGAATAGAGTGAGAGAAAAAGAGAGAGAGAAGGAAAATGAAAAAGAAAGCCACCAGATCTGGGTCTCGTACAGTAGTTGGTCATGTGGGAGCCCAGCACCAAATCAGGGCTTGTTTCACCATGAAAAAAAATTAAGTAAAAGAAAAAAAACAAAACTATATAACAATTAAAAATAACAACAGAGGGACCAGCAGATGGCATAATGGCTACGTTGCTGGACTCCCATGTAGTCGACTATGGTTCAAGTCCCGGGCCCGGTGGCTTCAAACTCAAGCCAACCCAGTGTGTGTGCGTGCCCAAGATCCCGAGAGGAGAATGGAGGAGAAGGGATTGCGGCGTGGCCATCCCCCCAGGGGGTGACTTCTCACTTTCTGTCTCTCTGTCTCTCTCTTGTCTTTCTGGTGAGTGCACACACCCTATAGCAAAAACAAA